AGACAACGGTGACGTTTTTCCATCGCTTTCATATTTTGCACAATATCGACAGATTCGTTGGAATGATCGCCCAGTCTTTGTTCCAACCATATAATGCTCAAAATTTAATGTACCGCACGACTAGCATTCTATCTCAAGTCCGCACTTGGAATCTTGATGAAACTTTATCAATTGTTTGTCTTTCTTTTTCTTAAAAGGCTTCATTTTTATTGATACGTCTTTGAACTTAAAGTCGAGTTCGTCATTTAGGATAGGAATGCCATAATCAACGTTCAATCCAAATGTTACATCCATGGCATACTGTCAAATTATATCTAGGTGTTAGTGTTGCCTGGCTGTAGTGGGGTAGCCCTTATGGGGTACAACCAGTGGTTTTTTTATCAGAGTCAATTACTCTGTTTCTCTGAAAATCAGAGTGATTTTTGGGGGGTCACTTTGACGATTCTGGGTAATATTTTTGGAAGATAGGTTTTCTCTGATTTGCCAGGGTTTTGATTTTAGCTACTCTGATAGACCAGTGTTAATTTCTGGCGAAATCATTTTTCTCTGTACAGGGTACAGGCATTTCGACCGAGCCCCCTCTTTAGGTTGATAATGGCTAGCGAATTGCGTATAATAGATATGTTAATGAGTTTTCCTACATGGTTCATAGCGGATGTCATAATGGATAAGAGGTTTTGTATGAGAATGGAAGGCGTGGGTTCAATCCTTTAGAAACTCAGAGTTGGAAAAATAGGAACACTGTCTTACCAGGGTTATTTTTTCATAAGTTAAGTTTTCTCTGACAAATCAGAGCAGCCCAAAAAAACAACTCTGAATTTCAGAGTTTCCAAAAAAACAGCTCTGAAAATCCGAGTACTGAAAACCCAAAAAAAAGCCCTGAGTACAACCCAAAAGTTAGGGTTATACTTGTACCCTTCTTCCATTCAATCAATCATTTGATTGTCTAGATTTTGAGATGGTATCAGAGCGAAGGTCTCGCATTCAAATCCCGGTGTGTGCACCTCGGGCATCCCAGTGCGGGGGGGTGTCAAAGGTCCACTGGTGATCCCCGATTGATCCTAGGGAAGGGTTACAGGCACGTTGGCCTGGGGGGTTATGGGCGCACTCACCCGCTACACAAACAAGCCCTTTTATCCCAGTGGTTAGTGGCTGGGATTCTGACATGGTATCAGAGCAGTAGGTCTTAGGACCTAAGTTCGGGCCCACCGGTTACTGCATTAGCTCACCTACAGCTGTGCGTGCCTTGCCTGCCTTGCCTTGCCTGCCTAGCCTGCTGCCTGCGTGCGCCTCGAAGGCGCGCGCGACTTTCTTTTTTTTTAGCGCACGCCCCGCGAAAGCAGCCCGCAGCCCACTGCTGCCCTGCGCGCCGCGCGCCCCGCCTGCGCCGCCTGTTCGCCCGCCGCCGCAGCCTCGCCACGCGCAGCCCGCAGCCGCGCGTGCCCTGCCCGTCCGCCGCCCGTCGTTGGGCAGCCCGCCGCCGCGCACACTTTGCCGCACGCAGCCCGCTGCCCGTGCGCCGCCCGTCGCCACGCCGCCCGCCGCCGCGCACCTTCTGCCGCACGCAGTCCGCTGCCGCGCGCGCAGTCTGCTGCCGCACCCAACCGCCGCGTACGAGCAGCCGCCACGCTCGCCCCGCTTGTGCGCCGCCGCCCTGCCCTGCCTGAGCCTGCCTGCCTCCTGCGCCTGAGCCTGAGCCTTAGCCTGTGCCTGCTGCATTTCCCCGCCCTGTGACCATGGCGACTATTTCTGTTCTCGACTTTGAGCCTGACGGTAGTCCTGTTCAGTTTGACACCTGGCTCAGTGACCTGCAGCTAATACCTTTTGACTAATACCAAGGACGGAGCCTCTCTGCTAGACTATGTCAATGGCACTGCCCCTGCTCCCGCTGCTACTGCTCCTGCCTCTGAACGCGCTGAATGGCAGACCCGCGATGCCCTTGCCCGCCTAGCTATTCGCAACCACCTGCCTATCTCCGAGCGCGCACACTTCAACCAGCTTAAGACTGCTAAGGAACTGTTTGACGCAGTAGTTGCCCGCTATTCCGCCCCAGCCACTGCCGCCGTTGGTAGCCTCATCCTACCCTACCTTTTCCCCGACCTCGCCTCGTTTTCCACTGCTGCAGACCTCATCTCTCACCTCCGCACTAGTGACGCTCGCTTTCGTGCCGCTCTCACTGACGAGTTCCTCGCCGAGAACAAACCCCCCCTGTACTTTACCCTCTACATCCTAGTCACTCGCCTCCCCGACACGATCCGTTCCATTAGGGACTACTTCCTCGCCAAAGACCCTCCCACCATCACCCTAGATGACTTCGAGCAGCTTGCAGGTAATTGCAGCTGAGAAGAACATTTTGGCTGTGAATGCTGCTCGTGGCACTCCCCGCACTCCCCTCTTTGAGGGATGCTCCCCCTCCCCTCTTACCCCTCCTATGCCTCTGCTGCTGCTGCTGTTGACCTTCTCGGCGCTGAGAAGGTCAACGCCGCTTCTGCTCTTGGTGGGAAGCGCGGCGGAGGCAAGGGCGGCAAGGGGGGCAGGGGTGGCGGAGGTGGCGGTGGAGGGAGCGGGCGGCGGTGGAGGCGGCGGGGGTGGCGGCGGTGGTGGGGGTGGCCGTGGGGGTGGAGGCGGTGGGTGGGGTGGCGGCAGGACCGGGGGCGGTGGAGGCGGCAGCGAAGGTGGTGGAGGAGGAGGCAGCGGCACTGGTGGTGGAGGTGGGGGTGGAGGTGGATCTGGCCAGAAGAGTGGCACCAGTGGCGGCCAGCAGCAGCAGCAGCAGCAGCAGCCACCGCAGCAGCAGCAGCGTCCGCCTCTCACCTCCCAGCAGCTCAATGACTGGTATGCTGGGCGTGGGGCGTCTTAGGGCTCTGACCGTTGCCCCTATGTCATTTGCACAGGTCCCCGCCAGGGTCGCACCTGCGACGGTTTTCACACTGAGTTCCGCTGCTTCGCTAGGCTTAGTGACGCCTGGCGCGCAAAGTATCCTGATGCTACTGAGTTCCCCAACTGGGCAAATCTCCTTAGGCGTGGTGTCCCTATCTTTGATCTAGACTATGATGATATTCATGCTGCTATGTATGCATTGACTGTTAGTGCTGAGGGTGACTGTTACTTGTGTGTGCCGCCTGACCCAGGTATAGAGACTGCAGCCCTAGGTGCTAGTGAGTCTGCTCTCCCTGGTACTGCGTCCGCTCAGGCTTTGCACACGTTCACACTTGACTCTGGTGCTTCGCGCTGTTTCTTTCGCGACAGCACCACTGTCACCCCTCATCACAAAAAACCTTGGTTTTTGAAGGGGGTTCGAAGGGGTGTACATTTCAGGTGTTTTGGTTGGCGAAGTTCCGAAGCCAATGAAATTGGAACGCGTTTGTTTGTCGAAGTCGAAATCGAATCCGCGACTCCGGTACATTGCCGTTTATTTGAAGCGTGCCAAATTTGTTGTGATTTTGTAATTGGTTTTTTAAGCTTTGACTTCCCTAAATGTGTCTGCTTAAAAATATGCTGGCCATTTTATTACAAGATAAATGCATCACATTTGATACTTATTAAGGAGATAGGTACTGTCCAGATGGAATGCCTTCACCACATGGACGTGGCGGAGCAGCGCTTCAATCGGAATCACGGAGTACGCGTACATTCCTGTTGTCCACTTGAGGCGAAGGCATCCTGTTGCTGTATCCTCTCCGCTTGCATTCCAATATCTAACGTAAGCCAGCTCCTCCCTCTCTCCACGTATTTTTGTATGGAACAACAGAAGCAACCTTGCATACCACTCCTCTCTCCGACCATACCTTACACCCTCCACTGCAACATCCGAGTACCATGGCCTCTCAAAATAGTCAGGGGTCGCTCGAACGAAGTGAGAAACTCTTGAGAAGCTGGCGTCGTCTGCTGCAGGGATTGCCAGCGATGCATGGGCCTGCATAACAGTTGATGTTAGTCATGTATGATACGAGCCAGCCAAATGATGGTTGATTGCATACACTTGCAACTACTTATTCGAATCTTGGTGACGCATCCTGCATAACGCATAAGCGCATCCTTGAGGGCTGCTTGGGCACGAGGGTGTTGCTTGGCCCACTTCCTTGCAAACCAGTTGGTGGAGGTGGGTTCTTCTGGTAACTCCACAGGGAGGAGGTATGACTCCTTGATGAGCGTCCGTGTGTCGGTCTCAATCGCCTGCCAACATATGCTATTGATATTATTACATTCTGAGTTCATATCCATGCAATTCAAGCACTAAACAGATTTACCTGCCGCATGGCGGTGTCCCGGCCAGCAGGATCATCCACCGGCACCACATCCGGAATGCGCCTAGCATGGAACTTCATGATCTGCCCATCTACATTGCGCTTGTTGGACCGACGGTAGATCCTCTTTACCAACGGTCCGTGCAAGTGCTCGAACATGTTGGTGCTGAATTCAGTCACATGACCCGCGCGACGTATGGAGTCGACGTAGTGCGACATGAGATGTGTTTTCACAAGGCACCAAGAGGATGGCTGCTTTGGAAACGCAGCCTGCAACTGCTCAACGAGCCTGGTGGGAGTGGGAGATGACAACACATGCAATCACAGAGTCTACTTATTCATATCATTTTCCTTTTCCTGATCCTTTCTTATCAAAGTTTAGCACCAAACATCCTCACAACATTGCCTACTACAAGAGCACATTTACAGTAGCCAAGCATTCATCCCATGCACGGGGGTTTACATGCATGGTATTATTACCGAGAGGTCATCTTCTTCAGCTCCCGGAGGGACCGCTCAGTGTGCCCCTGAGGCTGGGAGCACAGGATGTACCCGCCAAGATAGGCACGAACGGCATCCATCTGGGGCTGGCGAAGCAGGCCAGCAAAGACAAACACCATGACCTGCAAAGAATGTGGATAGCAGCAAAGGGGAGGGTGAGCACAGATGGTGTGAGGAGTTGGGACAAACAATGGCAGCACTCGCAGACTGCTTGAGGGTTTAGGCCAGGACAAGTAACAGGGAATGGAGGGTTCATAGCTGCATGACGGCCCTGTGCTCATAGGCCGCGACACATGCTCCGGTCTCAAAATAGGCGCTCTCCGGCAGGCGCATGTGATTCAGGCGCGTGCGGTCGCGAATGAGGGACAGGCGCCTGCCCATACACATCAGTTCAGCGGTGGCAAAAGGGCAGAAAACATGTCAGTAATAGGACAGAACTTATGGTTTGAGTTCCAGTGACTAAGAGCAACGAATCCAATCCCCAAAACACTGACCTGTCCATCTGCTTCACACGCCGCTTCTTCATCTTGCGCACGACAGCCACAATGTGGCTCATGATGCCCAGGTCCGCCTGGTGCATGATGTCAGGCATGACCACGAGGTAGGGATTGCCCCACGCGGTCCCTGGGACATCCCACTTCCAGAGCACGCACTGGAAATGGGGATGTGGTGAGGAATGGAGGAGAGATGTACGTGAGAGTGGATAGCTAACCTCATCCACAAGTGGGGTGAGTTCAATTGGGCAGAGCACATTTGGCAATTCATGACGCGGCGGGCGAGAGCATAGACTACTCATGGGCCGGGGAAACAGGTCGCTCACCTCAACAGGGTAGGTAGAGTAGGCCTTGCACGGGTTGTCCTGGCTAGTTGTCGTCCCAGCCGCCTCGTTAACGATCCATTGCTGCTGTTCAGGCGTGCGCGGCGTGTTCCGTGCCGCACTCAGATGCTCCTGTTGTAGCACGGGGGTTTAGGATGGGATAGAAAAGGTAAGGGTGGCAGCTATGTGGGTTCTATCAGGCGACCCACAAACGAGAATGTATTTGAATGCGTGCAGATGGCATGTGACCTCACCTTTGCAGCATAGCAGATGCTGCACGGCATCCGCGATCCATGCGAGAGTGTGCAACTGATCTTGCCGCTCTCGGGGTAGTCGCACACCCAGGCGTACAGCAGGGGGCGCACGGTTTGCCAATCACCGAAAGGGTCCCTGAGACGGAACCCGCTGCAAGGAACAGGTAGAGTGGCAACAGGAATTTGGGTTACGGCTTTCAGGGAGGAACGACGAGGGGCAAAGGGCCATGCTACATACAGAGAGGGTTTGCATACCATGCAGGTGGTGAGATGATGTGTTAGGAAGATGCAAACCGAGTACGGACCTGGCGATGCCATCAAGAAGCGGCTGCAGCACGGTGATGACGCATCGCTGGAAGAGCATCACCTTCTCCACGGCAGACATTGCAGAGCAAGTAGTGTGTGCCCGGCTTTCCCCCATCGCTTGGCCTGGGAGATGTTGGCCAGCGTCATCATGAGCGGCCACGCCTTCTTCCGGCCGTTGTTGCTCATGTGCGTCACATCGGAATATAAGATGATCCCCCCCACAACTTCGGACCAACCGAAGTGTTCCTGCAGTGCACGACAAAGCGGCAACGGACACACAGTTTAACACTCAAGATGCTCTTGACAGATCAGTGCAGCGACCGGGGCATGAGGAAGGATTGGGTTTGGGGTGGCAACGTGGTCTTTCCTTACCTGAGCATCATTCCACCACGTTCCTGTTTCAGGCGTGGTATAGCAACGGCCGCCTGCGTCAGGGTCCTCATCAACACGCGCCTTGAGCTTGAAGCCGGGCGCGTTGTTGGGATGTCCAAACATTTCAGCGAATGCCTGGTGTACGGTGGCAAAGGCAGGTGAGAGGAGAGGCATGGTTAGTGGCGGTGAAGGTGGGTGTACGGTTAATACAAGGATAACTACGTACATGCAAACCCAGTGTGCCTCATCATCATTTCACGGCCTTGAATGCAAAGGCGGCTTACCTGGGCTGAGTTTTGAAAGAGCAAGCGCTGTGGTGGATGACCGTCAATCTCGAAGGTCGCCACCGACCATCCGCGATTGAGCCCTGCCAAGCGCTCCATCTCGAACCGCTCCAGATCCTTGCAGTTCCGGAGCTCCGAGATCACAAGAGGCGCAAGGCCGGGCTCTACGACTAGCTGAAGCAGGCCATTGATGTCAACCTCGGCCATCCCCATTCCGCCATTCACGCGCCGAACGAAATGCAGCAGCTTCAACGCGAGCGGATTGAGGGGCGTGGCATTGCTCTGTCCGGAGATGATTGATGGCGGCGCGGCATGACTCCCTTCGGGCCGGCTCTCAGGATGGTCACTCGTGTCAGCCGCGGGAGCTCCTGGTTGTGGTTGATGTTCATCTTCAGGAGGCCCCTCGTTCACGTCGTTGGGAGTTTCGTCAACGTCAGCTTCAGGCACGCGTGGAGGACCGCTCTCACTGACGGCGTTGGATGCGTTAGACGCTGTAGGTGAACCGGGAGCGGCTGGAGCGTCCGACAGAATGTCGTGGACGAATAGCAGAGCGTGTAGACCGGCGGTCGGTGCAGATCGCGTGGGCCTTGCCACGGCGGATAGTCCTTGGCAAGGGGTCCGCCGTGACTTATGACCGCCATAAACTTGGGCGTTGGGGAACCATCTGTTGCAGAACTCGCAGACGACGCCTGGTAAAGAGCCCATGTGTTACGGATCCGTTGTAGAGTCGAGAAATCGCTTAAGAAGCTACTAGCCGTGATGAAGCTTGTGAACGCATTAAGTACTCCGTTCAAGAAGCCTGTGACAGCTACACGATCATCGCCAATGCGCGCATTGTGGTGGGCGGCTTGTATCACTGCACGACTGGCACTTGACGTTGGCGCTAATGTTTATGACTGGCTAACGATGTCGAGCCGCGTGCTCGTTACCAGGCACGATACAGACCGCCCACCTCACGGGCCGTCTTCCCTACAAGGCGTATCGCCCCCGTCTAGAGTGACCACGACGTGAGCAGAGGAGAATGCACTGGATCTTAAGTCTCACGGTCGTGTAAATGCGTCGCGAGCACGGTGAGAAGGACGTGCCTATTGAGTCAAGAACTTGTGTTTATGACCCGTGCGTGAGAGTCGAGGGGGATTTTGGAAGAGTGGGAAGAGATCCGTTTGGATCTGTGATTGTGTCGCGAATTCGATATAGGGGGGAAATCGGCATCACGTAGGTGAGCTCAAGAGGCTTCAAACAAACATGGAAATGCAAATGTACAATTACAACTTAAAGACACTCAAGTCATTCATAACTAGTAAACATTCATATCCTCCGGACTGATGTTGAACAACCCTTACTTGATAACGATACGGGAAGTACCCAATAACTCCATGCCCTAACGTATGATTGTTGCGTGGAGCGAATACCTATAGCGTGACTCTCGAGGTGTAGTGTACCTCTACGCACCGTGCTGTATGAATATGCAAGAATGGATGACAATGTCGTACAATAGCACAACGGTTTCAATGTCCACGCAATGTTGGATGCCAATGCAACACCATACCACAACGGATTCACCATGTCGCGCAACCCGCAGGCCTGAACGCTGCATCGTCGCACAGTCTAACCATGGCTGTCGATAACGCATCTACGCTTGTGCGTTGGGCCTGTGCTTCATACCACTCCTTCCAAGCACCCTGTTCAATGTCTGTGCAAGAATGGATGCCAATGCAACACCATACCACAACGGATTCACCATGTCGCGCAACCCGCAGGCCTGAACGCTGCATCGTCGCACAGTCTAACCATGGCTGTCGATAACGCATCTACGCTTGTGCGTTGGGCCTGTGCTTCATACCACTCCTTCCAAGCACCCTGTTCAATGTCTGTGCAAGAATGGATGCCAATGCAACACCATACCACAACGGATTCACCATGTCGCGCAACCCGCAGGCCTGAACGCTGCATCGTCGCACAGTCTAACCATGGCTGTCGATAACGCATCTACGCTTGTGCGTTGGGCCTGTGCTTCATACCACTCCTTCCAAGCACCCTGTTCAATGTCTGTGCAAGAATGGATGACAATCCAACACCATACCACAGTCTAACCATGGCTGTCGATAACGCATCTACGCTTGTGCGTTGGGCCTGTGCTTCATACCACTCCTTCTAAGCACCTTGTTGAATGTCCGTGCAAGAATGGATGACAATCCAACACCATACCACAACGGATTCACCATGTCGCGCAACCCGCAGGCCTGAACGATTACTGCAACGTCGCACAGTCTAACCATGGCTGTCGATAACGCATCTACGCTTGTGCGTTGGGCCTGTGCTTCATACCACTCCTTCCAAGCACCCTGTTCAATGTCTGTGCAAGAATGGATGCCAATGCAACACCATACCACAACGTAATCACGTTTGTTACTAGTGGTAATCGTGTTAGAATGTCGTCCGCTGGCCCTAAAGCATCGTGGCAAAGCCTAAAAGTGCACAGTACATCTGTCACAAGTAATAATTCTGGACGGTCGTTGTGTGTGTGACGTAAGAATCACCGATTAACTTACCCCAACCCCGTAGTAAACCATTTGCAACTTAGAGTTTGTTGAAATGCATTGTTGTATGTTTGAATAAAATTTAGCTTCTACGTGTAACACTGTGCGGTCTCGAAAACACTGTACTTTCGCACTGTAGGTTTCACACCGGTTTTACCCTTTGTAGTGATTGATGCGTTGGCAACCGTGATTGGCCGACGCATCTCAAACGATTCCCCCCGCAACACAGTCATCAGCCAAGAGGTACTTCAGCCATTGAGCGGCTGAGATCGAGCGGAATGTGGGTTTATGCTAGGGTGGCTACACGTACACCGTCCAATATAGCCTGATAGGGTTACATGACTCTCTCTAGTCTCGCAACCCACCCCAACCACCCTCGTGCCCCACCCACCTGCTTCCGTCACTCCCTGGGCCAACACTTTGACGCTGCTCGTTGCCTTGACACACGCCTCTCCAGATCGGCCTTAGCGCGAAGCATAGTGGCTACTATGACAGTTTTAGTTGAAGCGGCGGTTTTCGGAAACACATAACAGTGATAGACCGTCGATAATCCCATCGTGGGATTCAGTTGCAGAACCCTTTCGAAACCGGCTCAACCCTTCCGCACGATTTGCAACTTTGCTCCTCCCACAATTACCATGACACGTGCAACACGTCTACAAGCAATGGAGGAGGAACAGGCCGGACGCCGTGCGACAAGGACGATGTCGAAGCGGAACGATAGGGAGGGTGGCGCCGGCACCAAAAAAACTAATGCATCCGTCGCGCGTGGCAAGGGGATGAAAAAAGTGGTGGCAAAGAAGGTCGCCCGCGGTCAAAAGAAGTCCGGCATGAAGGCGGGAGACAACGGGAAGCAACCAACGGCACGCAACCGTGTTTCTACAATGAACAAAGAGGCGGATCATGCCTCTGCTGGAACCGAGCCCGGTCCGACCAACGAGGGCACCAGTGGTGGCAACGAAGATCCGGGGCGAGGGAGCGCAAGTCTTGCAGTCCCGTCGGCGGAGATGGAGGGATCAGCGACGGAGGGCAATCACGGAGGCGATCCCCGCGCCGAGCATGCCGCAACCAAGGAGTCCGAGGCGGCGGCAACGCAACACCATCTGACGTTGCTCCAGCCGACCGTGGTCAAAGTTTCTGCAGCCGTGCTGGATAAGGACAAGGTGGGGGAGCTCGAGTCGGTGGGGCTGGTCGGTGGCTCTCCACCTTCTGGTGGACGGGGGAGGCGTAGGCAGAGGAAGAGCGATGGGGAGGACGATTATGACACCGCCGTGCCCGGGGACCTCATTACGCGGGCGAAAAGGCGGCACACGACAGGTAGTGCTGACGACGCCGGAGGCGCGGCAGTTGGGACACCACGAGGCGCCAAGGAAGCTAGTGGCAAGGCGGGCAGTCAAGCATTGCGCCAGAAGGGCCGACCCGCAGCAAGAAAAGCATCCGGCGGAAGGAGAGGCAAGAAAGCAGCGACGGGAACAAAGCCGAAACGGGGCGATGAAGACCCGGGTGATGCGGAGGAGGAGGAGGATGAGGAGGAGGATGCGGAGGGAGAGGAGGTGGCAGAGGAAGCGGAGGAGGATGACGCGGATGTTGGGGAGGATGAAAAAGATGAGAATGATGGCGGGGAGGACGAAGAGGAGGAGGAGGAGGAGGATGAGGAGGAGGAGGAGGAGGATGAGGAGGAGGAGGAGGAGGAGGAGGAGGAGGAGGAGGAGGAGGAGGCAGAGGAGGAGGAGAAGGAGGATGAGGAGGAGGAGGAGGAGGAGGAGGAGGAGGAGGAGGAGGAGGAGGAGGAGGAGGAGCAGGGTGACGACGAGGAGGAGGATGTGGAGGAGGAGGAGGAGGAGGCAGCAGAGGAGGAGGAGGAGGAGGAGGAGGAGGAGGAGGAGGAGGAGGAGGAGGAGGAGGAGGAGGAGGAGGAGGATGTGGCGCCAGTGAAGGGACGGGGCGGGCGTGGCAGATGGGTGAGTGGTACAGGGAAGGAGGGGGCCGGACTCGCCCTTCCCGAAAGCGCGGGGCAGTTGACGCTGCGCGCGGCGAAGCAGCAGGCAAACCGAAGGCGCGTAAGGTGAAGGTCAAAAGTGAAGGGGTTGGTAAAAAGCAAGGGAGCCAGGGAGCAAAAGGGGATGGAGGAGGAAAGGGTGGCCGCGCCAAAGGGGTTCCAAAGGGTACCAGCAAGAAAGAACCTGCCGGTAAATGTCATAGCGTCCGCCAAAGCACCCCGCGGAAAGGTGGCAACGAGAAGGCGCAGGCTGCCCCAAAACCGAAGGGACAGCAGAAAGGTGAGCATTGTGTCCAATAAAACTGGCGTGACGTGTTGAACCATCTGCTAAACCGTGCCAAAAAAACCCTTTTTTCACATCGTTTCTCCCATGCAGGGAAGGAGAAGGTCGACGAATCTGCCAAGCAAGGTAAACCCTCTTGTCCCAAACCAGTACAACCCTGAACCCGATCTAGATTCAAACCTTTCAGAATATGCATGCATGTCTGGCCCCGCCTTGAAACCGATCTACTCTAATTTTTTTTTCCGGCTCCCTCTACATCTCAGCCCCTTGCGTTACAGGCATTAGGCCGCCCGTAAGCGTGCAACGAATGCATCTAACGAAGGCTGCCGGAAGAGCGAGTGTTACACCGCTCTCCTCCGGAGCACCAAGGTACTACACGCCATGGGCTGGCCCGAGCAAAGTCGCTGCGACGGCACCAGACGCGCCAAGAGGACAAGAATCCGAATCCCCTTCACCCGCCCCCATCACGCAGTCCCCACTCGCCTCACCCTCATACCAATTTCGGCAACTCCACGCTTCTCCTGTCCGGGGCAGGGCGGTCTCCCCTCTCGCCGATCCTTCGCGCGGGCATCAGGCAGGCAGTCATGCCAATCCCTTCCCTGAGCTCCCCTTTTCTCGCCAGCGTGATAGTGTGAGGGCACACGGGACTGCTGCAGAAGACGTTGACCCCCTTGGCCAGAGGGGGGTTTCTTCACACCCTTTTCCTCCGCACATGGGTGCCCTAGGTGAAAGTGCGGAGCACGAGCAGTTTGTTACACGGGAGGAGTTCCAGGCGCTGCGGTCTGAGATGTACGCCATGTTTGCACAGCTCGGCCTGCGTCGTGGAGTACCTGCCAGCTATGCCAGCGGGTCGGCAGCCCTGCCTATGGCTGGTACCCCGCCG